TCATGAGTGGCAGGGTGTGTGTGACAGTATGGGCAAGTATCTAGTCCACTGGGCCCCTCCAGTGCTTTGGAAGCATCGGAGATGGAAGGCAGCTGTATGGAGTCCCCAGCAACAAGCTGCAGAAACTGCTTAAGGGGACAGTGAATTATTTTAAGCCTGGTGGGCCCATGGCACTTCAGGTCATCAGAACAGGGATGCAACATAGAGATGGACTCATGATCGAGGGGTGGACTTAGCAATGGACACTATTGCCCAGGTTATTCACAAGTGTGAACACTGCACACAGTCTCTCCTGCTCTGGAAGACTGTTACAAGAGGTGGAGCCTGACATCATGGACCAGATGGACTCAGCAGCTTTATAGGGACTGGTCCATGCACTAAGATAAGAGTGCACTAAGATAAGAGTGATGGTATATTGAAAATGTGGGAACTGAGCATGACGTGAATGGTATGGAATAAGGGGTGGATAATGTCCTGGGTTCAGCAGTAGCAGTCATTTTTTTTCTCCTTCTTGGTAGCTGGTGCAGTGCAGTGTTTTGACTTTCAGCTCGGGAACAGAGCTGATAACAAGGATGTTTTGGTTTGGCCAAGGACTTTGTGAGCCTCATGCTCTGCCAGGGAGGAGGGGAAGCCAGGAGGAAGCAGAGACAGGACACCTGACCCAAACTGACCAAAGAGGTATTCCATACCACAGCACGTCATGCCCAGGATGTAACTGGGAGTTAGCCGGAAGGGCTGGGAGACGGCAGGGTTGGAGGAGGTATCGGTCGGAGCTTGGTCGGGCTTGGGGGGCGAGTTATCGGTCAGCTGGTGCTGAGGTGTTGTATTCTCTTCCCTTGTTATTTCCTTTATCATTATTATCATTGGTGGTAGCAGTAGTGATCTGTGTTATACCTTAGTTACTAAACTGTTCTTATCTCAACCGGTGGGAGTTGCATTCTTTTCGATTCTCCTCTCCGTCCCTCCGAGAGCAGGGGGAGGGCAAGAAAAGGGGGGGAAGTGAGCGAACGAATTACCTGACTGGGTTTAAACCACGACATCATGTTATCATGGGTGGTTCTGAATTTGCTCCACAAAGCTCAACTGAACAGATTTAATGGAAGAAATGTTTAGGAGAAAGGTATATTAGAAAGGTTGCCTATAGCTGCACTTGGATTATCAGTGATTCTCTTCTAAATTTTCCTTTTACTAGCTTGCAGACTTTCATGAATGCAGCATTAATAGTCTTTGCCCAACCCTTCCAAACAATGTACTTTCTACTGCCAGCTGGTCAACTAATATATAAAGCTGTCCCTCACAATAGATACAAGTGGAGGGATTTATCATCTTTCCATGGAATCTAAAAGATAAAGTTTCCAAAAATGCCAGTATGTAGAATAAATTTCTTATAGAGAGATAAAATCCAGAGTGGCTCCCACTCAACACAGAGCAAGCTGTCATATCAGAGGTGTGGAAAGCCGTATAGAAGTCCTGCACAACGGGAAGGAGTTTGTTATTGGCTGACATTTCATGCTTATCAAAACTGCAGCTATATTGCCCTGCAGGCAAATGAGTATTTCATATTACATGGAGATGGTTACTGTAAGTTTATTACAAAAGAAAAGAACATATTCTATGGATATTTTTTTTCATACCTTTTATTTCTGAAGCTTATATTTGCATTTGCCTCAATCAGGCATGGGTTGTGGTGTGTGTGAATGTCTCTTAAAACTTGTGCTAAACAAATCACTTGTCTATTAAAAATTTTAAAAACTTGTTATAAATAATTTCTCCATACTTGTATGCTTTGATCTAATCTAATGCATAGTTTTAGGTAAAATGTTTGTGGTTCAAAAGATTACAAGTATTAGGAGGAAGAAATAAGTTCTAGAAATTATCTTCAGCTCGCAGCTTGTTTTACAAAGGTTCAAAATGCCCTTTCTTTGCTAACTGCATCTAAGGAGCTCCTGACCCACTCCTTTTCATGTAAAGTCACCAATCTAATAATAGTAATATTTAGATGGGATATGGCCATAACTTTCACTTAAGAATTCTAATAAAACATTAATATTAATAAACAAATACTTTCAGAAGTACTGTTTCTGCTTAGGCAACGAAGAGAACTTAGTTTGTACTCCTGATAAACACTTGAGCTCCCTATGGTTCACTATTACTGTAGTTTTAATGTTCAGGGATGTGTTTGAAATAATGTACCATGAGACAGAAAATCTGCTGGTACAGAACTGCTCTTGTTCTATATCATTCACATATTGTCTCAAAGCCATATTACAGTATAATCTAAAGCACGAATCTCCTGAGTCCCCACTCTCAGCAACTGAAAGCACCATTTGTGTACATGGGCATTTGTCCTATCAATTTTAAGGTCTCTGTGCAAGAATCATATTTGTGGTGAGTGACGTTTTAGAGATTTGGTATGCAAACTCTCCAGGCTATCTTAGAAAGCCTGCAAACTCAAAATTAGTAGATGAAGCTCAGGATTAAAGGTAAGCTTGAAGCTGCCAGATTTTGCAACTTTCTATACGAGGGTTGCAGTAACCTATCTGGTTATCCCAGAACAAAAATAACATTTCCTTTTCAGAGTCCTTAATTACCTCCTTTCCCTCCCCCCCTTAATTAGCTGTGGGCAGAATGGAAATCTTGGAAAAAGTTTGGCTTCTGTAATTAAAAAGACTTCCTGAGTGGCACTACTTTGGAAAAAAAGTTTAATATTATTGTGGTGCCCATGCAGCATGATTAATAGGAAGACTGGACAATGGAAACTGAATTACTGCCACCAATGTGCCTTCCACAAAGCAGACATCTGACACCAACTTCATCTCTGACATGTCCCTATTTTCCTAAGGTTTTCCATATTTTCCTTAGACACTAACCTGGACAGAGTGTAAGCCAATTACCTAGCTCCCTGCTCTCTTTGAAAACATCCTTCTTGCAGTTCAGGCTTCAATTTATTATGACATTATCAAAATAAGCTGTCCAAATGTTTTTAAAAAAAAAAAATCCACAGCAGACAACGCAGCTTGCTGAAAGTGGGTTGCCTTTCCTCCCAGGTCTAGTAACATGATTATGAAGAGACAATAACAAAGGTATCCGAATACTGTGAAAACAAGTTATCACAAAACCATTCCATAACATACAAAAAAAACAAGACAACCACCAGGCCCCTTGCTGTCCAGCTACAGCTCCTTTGTGTGGCTTCACTTAGGCAAAGGAGTGGGAGAAAACAAAAGAAGCTGTCTGGCTTCTATCCTTACCCACAGGTGGACTGCACTGGCACATAGGGCCTGTATCAACCTCTATTACCTCCTTTATATTTGCAGGGAGTGCTGGAAGATCTGGCGTGCCAAAAGAATAGCTATAGGCCTCAGAGCAAAATGAGGCTACAGGCCTTATGCACATCCATGCTTTGCAGGATTTGCCTCCGCTGCCATCTAGACTTATACGAAAGCCACTGAAGACCTGCTCTGACTCTGTACTGTGCTTGGAATTAAGCACAGCTCAGTTGGAGCTGAAAAAGAGGTTACAGATGCATAAATTTGGGGCATTTTGTATATTTTGATAATGCAGCTTTCCTGTGCTAACAGTGCAGTGATACATCACTGCCCATAAATCTTCACCTGAAGGCAGATGAGGAACAGGAATGATAGCAATAACAAAAAAATCCCATCCTTGCTGCCTTCATGGAAGAAAGAGATAAGGTCCAGAGTGGAAATAGGAAACTGACAATTTAAACCTAAGAACTGTAAGAATTTCCTAGTAAAGGATGGTCTCTCCCCATGAATTTGTTTTACTGTAGTAACCTGCTGTCCATCAGGGCAATCTGACAGCAGAAGCACAGATCCAAGGGATGTTACAGTGCCTTGGCTCTCTCAAAGTCTGCCGTGCTCACCAGGAGGGTGAGATGGGGAGGAATCACCCTGCAGTTGCATCTGGCAGGTTGCTCCCAGCCCATCCCCAGACTACAGTAGGAATTTGGGGTGAAATTTGATCAGAATTATACCTGATACTTTATTCAGCTTTGAAATTGCAAATACTTTGAAATAAAACTGTTTTACTATTGTCTTGTGTGCATTAGGCATTGCCAGTTCTTTTTTAAAAATCTTCACATTTATCACCAAATAAATAAACCAAATAAAACCCGGTGTATGGTTATAACTGACTTGACCACAGATGCCACAAGTCCTCACCATTGTACCTTCTCACTATGTTAGTTCCAGCTATCGCCAGATCACTGTCAACTCAGTCATACACAATAATGCCCCATTACAGCTGGAATGGTTTGTTAAACTTTATAGCACTCAGAAATGCTCCTGAGGCACCAAAAATGTCTTGTTTCAGAATTGAACATATAATACCTGCCAAATTTGCAGGTTTGAAGCCACTTCCAGTAAGAATTAAAAAGGCCCTTTTCACAGCTGAAATAGGGCTATCAATACTTGACTTGTCTGCCCATGTGAAATAGTGGGTTCTTTTCTCTGACGTCGCAATTTAGTTTAAAATAACTTTGATGATGACAGGGTACAAGCAAGTGATAAAGCCACAAAGATGACAGTCTAATCTTACAAAGATGACCCATCCCTGATAAGAGATTAAGTCACACAACATTTGAAAAAACAGATTATCTGTCTGCTAGGATAGTGTCTGTGTACATCTCCTGCTGAGCCATGCTGAGATGCCAATGACATACAGAGATGCTACTTCTCAAAAAAGAGAAATGCTTCACAGAATTTCTGAAACCATCAGGATAGAAGAATGCAAGCAAGCAAGAAAAGAAGCTCTTATCTTATATTGAGCTTTTTTTGGTCAAATATTAATTTTTCAGGCTAGTAAAGTATTTAGACATACAGCATATAAATAATTTAAAAACACTATAAAAAGGTCTAAATTAGCCAATTTTGCCCTATAATTAGCACTCACAGCTATGCTGGCAATGGGTGGGTGATTATCAAACACCTTTTATTATCAGTTTTATGTACTACAATAAAAATGAAAATTATACTTACAAGAATTATTAGACATGCTGGTCCTATAAAACTCCATATAAAGTTGTTCTTCGTGCTGAGCCAACATCTGAAAAGTAAGCAGCAGAAAATGCCTTGAAATGTGCTATTGTGACTATTGCATCCTTAAGTATGTTGATTTGGACACAGAAACAGTGACTTACACTTCTGTGGTGCCATAGTACTTGTATCCTAGTGCGGCAGAGATTCCAACAACCACAGCTGGACTGACGTAGCCAAAGACATAGAAATTCTTATGCAAGAAACCCTTGTTGTAGATGACTCCCACCACTATAAGGTAGAGGTGAATACCTTCAATGCACATCCATGCAAAAGCAGCTAGAAGGAAATAATGGAGTAATCCGGCAGTAATTGAACAGAAGAGCTAGAAATTCAATCAGAGAAAGCAAGAGTCATAATTCTATTAATATGTCTGTTAATAAAACAGCATATGCACAGCAACGTAGTGAACTCTAAAGTGGTGGTCCAGCAGCCCACGTGTAGTACTGATTGACAAGAACTTGGCCTACACCCATGAGCTCACTTGTTCATTACTGTTTTCTGTAGCAACTGGTAAGATAAAGAGACTGCATTCAACTTCTAGTGCACTTCTTCCCAGGAAAACTATATAAACAACTTGACAAGGTTGATACCATAGTTACATCGGAGCAGTCTGTATGATTTCCTGATCTAGATGAAGTTCATTTTTACAGTTTTGATAACAGTGTAATTAGGCATCACAAGGAATTATTTCCAAAATTACTTTTGTTACTACAAAATGTTTGTAAAATGATATTTCTTGATCGGTTGGTACTGGAATGTCATCTCATGGATAGCAGTTTGCAGTTTTTCAAGTAACTTTAAATTCTATTCGACTACTTACAGTAAGATTATTTTGATAATTTATGCATAATTTAATTTCCTAAAACTATTCTGAGATGCAAAAATCAACAGCCCTTCTTGTATGAAAAACAACAGGGAGAAGTCAAGACCTCACATGCATAAAGAAAATGGGTCCTCCAGCCAACACTGCTGTATCTTAAATGCTAGCTTGGCACTACAGATGGCCTGGCTTTTAGGGAAAATTGTCACCCAGAAAGTCACCAGCATGGCTTTGTACAGTGTCCAAATAGATGAGAAAAGTGAAAATGATAAGCATATCAAGACCACAGTCTTTGATAAGATGAAAAAGCTTAAATGAAAGCCATAGAGCAATGTCAATACGCACCAGTTCAGATGAAGACCCTACTTCTTTAAATGATCATTTTGTATTTTCTATTACTAGACTGGGAAACCAATGTCACTGGAATATTCATACTGATACTGGGAAATATTGGAAGTAGATGGAAAATCATGTCTTATACAGTACATTTACTTTACAACACAAAATCAAGATATGAGTGAAAACTACCCACCTTATTATTGTTCATATTGATTCCAATCAGAAAAATAAGTTCCGCCAGGAAAAGGCTGCAGCAGAGGTTTTTGTGAATTGTCGTTCTAGTGCTTTGAATTTCACTGAAGAACCAGAATGTAAAAATGCACATGGAGAGGCAAATCAACGAAATAATTATTCCTAGCTGAGTGATTCTTGTAAGAATGTTATAATTTGTAACACCCTGGGGGAAAATTATAATATAATATTTAAAAGAACAGCTTTGTACCTTCTCAAGAAAGACCTCATTCTATTATACATTTTTTTTCGTCTTTTCTACAAAGTATTAATCAAAACTGTTTGTAGAGTTTCACTGCAAACTTACACTTTGGATAGTATAAAAAGTATTGTTTTTTTGTAAGACATAATTCATGGAGAAATTAGTAATGAGCTGCATATATTTCTGCTCTTGCATTTTCTGATATTTCTTAACAAAACTTTTTTATTAACATCAGTATCTACTAATATGCTTTAAAAAATCAGATCATTTTCGTGAATAACAAATACACTGGCAGTAGGACATATATTAATATGACATGAACATTTTCTAATATAAAAGGACTTATCACAGCAGTGACTTAGATAAGCAAAACTGAATAACCCTCACTGCATTTGCAACATGATCAAAACAAGACTCTGAAATAACAATCACTTCAAACAAATGCTATCCCAGATACGTAACATGAACATTCTCCAAAGAAACACAGGCTATTTTAATATTAGATGTGAATATTTTCTGTACAGGAATACAGTTACATTTGCTGCTTGGTATTTGCACAAAGAACCTCTTGAAGTACATGACTGCGCATCAGCATAAGGGTACTATTCAGCTGACCATAAAATGTATCTAAGTAATTTTTTTTCTAAATAAAGAACCAGAGATTATTCTCCTCCCAAACTTCTTTTTGAAAACAAATGTATAAGTACCTGCAAAGGTTTTAAATATAAACTGAAGATTTAGGATGCTATTTAGCAACCAGGAAACAGCCTCTGTCAGCGTGAAATTCACAGTGTGAGAGAACTGTCTCAATACAGTATATTCATGCTAATATTCTGCTTGCTGTCAGTTCTGATACCATGTAAAGCTGCCTCCTGAGGCAGGACCTGAGCTCCCACAGATCCCCACACAGGCCCTGGAAACAAAGGGATATACTGAGTGGTCATTCTCACGATTTTGTGATTGTCATGAGTGCCTATGTTTAATAGTCATAAACTTCACACTGATTTATGCTGTTGAAAATTCTCAGGAAAGAACTTAAAGCAGATTTTTAGATGCCAAGGTTAGACAAATGGGTGGCAAAGTTTTGTGAGAGAGAAATTCAGGGCCATATGGTTACTGACCACCAGTGAATGCCAGTTAAATCCCACAGCAGTCTTAAAATGGGATTTAAAATTAAAAGCAATGCACCAAAAATAAGCACAACAGACTGTGTATTTGGAACAAGATACTTTGCTGCATCACTGCTCTGTAATACTGCAGAAAGGACAAAAGGGAAATCAAACACATATGGGAGGAATTTTGTTTGCTCTGTGCACAATAAATTGTGTGTTTGCTGAACAAAATCAAGAGACAACCTAAAAGGGGAAAAGTACATAAGTTGCACTGAAATAAAAACATAAGGAATGAGGATAAGAGAAAGTATGAGGTAAAACACTAAATTAAAATAGCACTTACAACAGAGCCACCTGAGGACATCAAAACAGCAAAATGAGTCAGATGATTACATTTGCATGAGATATGAGTGGAGTTGGAATGTGTCAGCTCACAGCCTTCTGTAGCCCAGTTGCCATTCATTGTGTCTGCTGAGTAGTTCCAAAATGCACATTTAATATCTTTATCCGGAGTCTGGAACAGAAACAAGATGTTTTACTGATGGCAAAAGGCAGGATATTTCCTATCAAGAGACCTTTCTTACGTTAGCCAGTGCAATTCATTACATACTGCTTGCACCTTTGGAAGGCTGGGAAACAAAAATGACATTCTGCAAGTCCTATTCCAAGCAATCAAAACATGGCTAGAGAGGGAAGCATCTTATCCACAAAGCTAACACCCTACCAAAAATGTAGTCTAATCAGATTACTGAACCCTTCTGGCACTTGCAAAGGTGTTGGAATTTTTACCTACCGAAATCATTGTTACATACATACACCTGCACCTGCTGAACATGGACTAAACCCCAAGGTTACAGCCACATTGCTTGTCCTGCTCACAGTCCCTTCCAAATGAGCAGTTTGAAACTGAGACTTATTCCGTGCATTTTACAAAGTGATCTGAGATAAAGCCAGGGTCATATCATACCTGCTATATCAGGTGTGATGACAGCGCTGAATAGGACCATTAGTATTATTTATTACAGTTAGTGCTTACTAACTTGTCAAAGATAAGGTCCCCACTGTACTAATAAGTTGTATAAATATATGCAAATTTATATAGAAGACAAATAACAAATTTAAAAGCTGCATAACCAAGGTTAACACCTTGTCCTACCGTCAACGTCTTTACACACTTTCTAAGTTTCTGATAATTCTTTGTGCAATGCAAGGTGATTCTTCATGCACAAGTAAATTCAGTAAAATCTATACACACTATGGAACTAAAATTATTAGTTTTAAACAAATGTGTTCAGATTTCAGAAATAACAAAGTTGAAATACTATAGGTTCTGGTATATTCTCCTACCTCCAAGATAACTTTTCGCAGTAACTTTGAAGCATATGTTCGTATTTTTTAATATGCATGCTTAACCATGTGATAAACTTTCAGAAACCCCACCTAAATACAGAATATTCAAGACCCTGTAATATTCTCTGTTTCAGGCATTTACATTTTATTCATACTATAACCCAGCAAAGCTGGCGTTGTTGCCCTTGCTTTAGTCCCATAGCTATTTTCTGTTGTATCATATTTAGTTTATTGCACTTATGATGTCACATTTGGAATTCATCTAACTAAAGAAATAAATGACAAACATCAGCAAACAACAGAATTATGTCTCAATATATCGTACACTGCAGGTATGGTTACATCACATAAAATGATTAACTATTATTTTGTTTTATTTGATGTTGATAATAAAAAAGCCCCTTACCTTTGCATACTTTAAGGTAAATGTTATTTTCTCAAGCTCATAGAGTGTAGGTGGATTTGAGCTAATTGCCACAGCTATAACTGATGAGCTTACGGTCTGTCTCTGCTCTGAAGTATCTTTTGAGGAGAGGTTTTTAGGCGATGAAAGCAAAGAACCAATATTGCTATACCGCAGAAAGACAACTGCAACGGTGCCTATCAATCAAATAGACCATGTTCAGTGGTTTGTGGGGTTTTTATTGAAGAACAATATTGAAGACATTAAGGAAACAATAAACAATAGACATTATTACTACTCTTGCATAAAATATGCAAAACAGATGGAATCTTTGTGGAATACTTATGAAAAGGTTTTAGAGACAATGAAATATAGCTTTATTTAAAACAATGTAACTGCCATTAGAAATATCTTTGTGTGCTCACACTGGGAATTCTAATTAGATATACACATGTATACTTTTTTCTAGAGTAATACATGCTTGCTGCTGTTTTAAAGTTGGCTACATATGTGGTATCAGGTCTCAAACTAAAATGGCTCAGACCTGAGGTAAATACTGGGCTTCTCTGAATTACCTGGCTTACTTTGACTTCCATTGCAGTGGACCCAGAATGGAAGGCACACAGGGAAAAAAAAAGCAAATGGGATTTTAGGATGCAGTGCTGATACACAAAAAAAAGAAGTCATGATTTTTCTTCCTGGTACCAAAGCAAATCACTTTTTGGGGTACTGACAGGTGGTGAGATTCAGATAAACTGGAAGATTAGGATTTAAAAAATATTTTCTATGTTTATTAGGTCAGGTAGTTTAATTCTAGAACTGTTTAAACACATTTATTTATTTTCAGTGATGACATTAGTTGCAAACCATTTCTGTAGCACTATGAGGTCCAAGCCAATTTCCTTGCCTTACTGGTTCGGTACTGAAGAAAATGTATTCTTGCCCTAGTGAACTACTCTTTAAATAGAAAAGGTACACAAATTTTTTGGAGGAGAAGTAAGAAAACTAGTTGATGGGGCCAGTATGAACTCACAGCAGATCTATGGCTAAGAAAAGGATAAAGCTCAGGTCTCTGGCAACAATATCCAGTGTTAAAGCTCACTGTATACTGGAAACGTTAGAAACACCAGCCTTGAGACAGTAAAGGCGTAGGAGAGATGATGATAGAAACACCTTGACTTCTCTGTAGTTAGCAGGGCTGAAGCTCAGTCTTAGTAAACTGCATATTTGGTTATTTACTAGTGGGTACAAGTCTAGCCAAGGTGTTTAATAGCCCACCTACTCTCTAACCTTTGTTTCTTACCATTAGGATGAGATTCCTCTCTCTTCTTTGGAGAGATCTTTATATAATCTCCCCCCGTGTATGCATGAGGGTGAATGTGTTTCATGTGATGTGAATCAAAAGCAAAAACCTTGAGTACTGAAAAAGAAGAAAAATACTGCACAAGTCAGAGATCCATTACAGTGTACCATAATTTATAGTTGGGTTAATAAATGTGCTATTGAATTGCATAATTAACGTGACTTTTAAGAGTATATCATTGCACCAAATATTTCAAGAAAAATGCTATTAATATGTTTGCTTAAACCCCTATGTTTTATTATTTTCCTGCATACATTTTGCTCTCATACTTTTTACTCTTTCCATGAAAAATATTGTCTTTTATTCACCTTGCATTAAATTAGGAACTGAAAAGAACAATGTAGGTTACTCTAAGAAGAGCTATTGCTTTATTAAAAATGCATTTCTAAAAGGGACCACAAATCACAATTATAAAAAGCAAAGCATAAAATTCTCTACTGAATAGTAACATTTGACAAAAGCCAATTTTTGAAAAGTATATTTTTTATAGTTATCTGTCCATGCTACCAAATGCACATTGCACCATGAAATAATGATGTGTCTTGTCAAAAAACTAACAAACAAGCATCACCCCTCAGGACACAAACTACATTAGAGGACATTGAGCTCTTTATTTGGTTCATTATAGTGCTGAGTTTCAATCACCCAGGAAGGGAACAAAAAAAGTCAATCAGGACTCTTTTAAAAAACAAAACAGCAAACAAATCTAAAACTTGACTGATGGAGGAATATCACTAAGCTATACCATCTGCATTGCTTATAGCACAGCACACAAAAATAATATGAGCTATTCAATAGACCAGCTGTCAGAAAACGTTCGTCAGGATGTAAGAAAGTTTTCTGTAGCTGGAGTTTTGAAAAGCTTGGAGTTCAAGAGATTGCAAGCAGTGGAGAGAGAGGGATAATACTGTAGGTGTTGCCCCAGAATAGATGTGTGGGGCACATTTAAGTCCTGTGGAAAATGCATTGATGCTGAAAAACCGTAACAAAAGATTGCAGTGTTTGGGTCCAATTTGGAAAAGAGCTCATCTAGTTTCTCATTTTAGAACAAGAGCAAGACAAAAAAATCATCCACCTTTCAACATGGAAATTCCTCAAGATTCTCTTGATGATAAGCTTTTTTTCTCAGCTTGGTCTGACTAGCATCTACACTGCTACTGGAGGCTGCACATGAATCCTCTCTTCAAGACCTTCATGGCCTCAGCTCTGTAGCCAGGAGACCCTCTCCTTTCTGTCAGGGTGGTGGGGGAACCGGGGATTTACAGCCAGCTAGTGGCATCGCTTTGTATCTGCTGCAGGCCCAGACGCACTCTGGACTGACATAAATCTGCTTCTAAAGAGTTTATGTAATAGAACAAAATCTCTCATTTTTCATCACTCTTGCTAATTTACTTTCAGAAAAGTGAAAGAAGAACAGGTGGTTTGACCTGCCTCGGGATCAAAGGAAGACTCTGCCTTATCATGTCATCTTACAAATTGGCAAACTGGTAAGAGGTACTGAATGACTGTACTGAATCTAAAATAAGAAATCAGGTCACATGCAGTTTGGGTACATTCAGAGAAATGAAGATGTGACCATTGCCAAAGTCATAAACAATGCTTTATCAGGATTTTCAAAAGCAGCTGGTATTAACCTTACTCTGCTCCCACTGAAGGAATGATAGAACAATTATTAATACAGGAAAATCAGCAGTTGTTGTGAAGGCACCAGCACACATGGAGAAAGGTAGGAAAGCAAAACGTGCAGTTTAGCCTAACTGGTTCTCCTCAGATATTCCTCTTGAAATGGAAATTCTTCTGAAAATAAAGCCACTCCAGATCGGACTCACCAACCACAATCCCGATTCCATGATCATTTACAATACCTTCACTGAGCCAAAAAGAGGAAAAAATCTGTATACGGCAAATCTAAGTTTCATTCCACTGGTAGGGTTTTTTTTTAATGCATACTAGATGCATAGGATAATTTTGTACATGTAAGATGAATGCAGATTCATTGTTACGGTGTGACTAGAATGAGAGATTGAAAGAGAATCTGAAAGGACAATTTTCTACAGCTTCTCAAGTTTTTTCTGGGCTGTAGGCTCACATGTTCCGTCATTGAAAATTATGATACCTACACTGAAAGTCAGGTGTTAGTTATGAAACTCATACAAATTAACACCTGTGTCTTTCACATAACACCATTTCTAATCTTCATAATCGTGCTGAAAAACTCCTCAGTGTAATCCACACCTAAAGTATATCTTAGATTAATTTTCTTTATCTTACCTATGTCACTTGCATTAGCATCTAGCTGTGTTGTCTTTTTGAAGTTCTGTGACATGAGAAGCATTGCTTGTTCTGCAGTATGCAGCAGCTTAGTCAGGCTCCGTCTTTGGTCATCTACAGGAAGAGCTTCCCAGACTGTAATCTTGTCTTTTTGTAAAAAATTGTTCACAGTACTAACCAAAACCTGCACGTTATATAAACATAAAATTATATGTTTAAGTGCAGGAGTCATATGCTATTTGTAAAATAAGACACACATCCCCCTCATCTAATTTTAAGGCTTGATCTACTCACATTAATGGTTGTATTACGAAGTGTTTCATTGTCAGAAACAGAGTAATGCCTGGTATTTAATGATGAATAAGATAGTGCTTCAACATATGAAATCACATCTACAGGTAAAAGTGGTCCCAAAGTATTTTTATTAATTTCTTGCAGCATCTCCAGGGGTGTTTTCAAATGACTAATCTGAAAAATACAAGAACTCGCATCTTAATGAAACAAATGAAGTCACATTTCTGCAAGTGAAAGTAAACCCAGTGCAAATGGCTGATTTCTGTGAATTAACATACTGGCTTTTAAGATGCTTGTGCATAAAAAGAGACACCATTTAAATCAATAGGTTATACATGTCTGCTATAATCTTAATAAATAGCTACTATAAAAATAAGCCATATGCTATCATTAAACTTTTTTTCCGACTACTGCAGCTCTTTTTTATTTATCCTAATTCTCCAAAATTAGCTGGTAAATGTTCTGCAAAAGTCATTAAATATCAGTGATTTGATTATTCCATTGACTCTCTTCTGTTAAATTTTTAGTTGAAAATGTGGGAGCAGAGAAATAGTTTTTGGTAGGGTTTTCTTTTTTTTTTTTTAAACGCAGATTATAAAGCATGTAGTTAAATCAAACTGTACTGCCTATTTCACCATCAATGCTTCAGTTTATGAACTGCTTAATGCACTTATATAAAACAATTGGTTTAAAAAGCAACAGTCTGAAGAAGGTGAGATGATTAAACTTGCAAATTTCCATCTCACAGATGAACAAGAAAAGAATTCTTATTTCATGATACTGAAATTTAATGAGATTAAAATTCCTCCCCCCCCCCCCCCCAAAGAAAAACATCAAAGAAACCCTGAACCCAACACCTGATTTTGTAAGATCTGTAGACTCTGCTGCTGAACAGCTTTTATGGGGCTTGCTTTGTCTTTGACTGCAGCTGAATCAAACTAGAACACAGGCTAAAAATCTAGGCTAAAATCTGACACAGTTTTTATGCAAAATTGAGGTATTTTAACTTACTACTTTAATTTGACTATGTATTTTAAAAACAAAAAATAAAACCCCAAAATCCTAAATCCTGCTGTGGCATTTACCATGCCTTCATATGTAAAGGTGGTAAGCATATATTACATTTAATATAATACATTACATTACAGGTTAACACAGAAAGCATGTTAACACAATGACCATCTTACACTAGGTTAATAAAAGCCTTTCAATAAATATCTTTCTGAATTTTTTAACTTTGGCAAACTGCTTAATATAACATCCCAACATATACAATTTGATTTATTTATTCTTATGTTTCATTTATCTTTTTAAATTAGACAATACTATAAATGTAGACTAATGAACAGTGATTCCATTAATGTTTTGGGTTTGTTTTTTTTTTTTGAATTTGCTTCAGGAATCTCTGTTTCTGGTGAAAAAGAAATCTTGAGTCCAGAGTCCCTGAATCTATAAATTCTGCACCACTTTACATACTATGCTTGGGCAGTAAATATATTAGCATACCAGGTTGTTATTGCTCCATTTTCTATTTTGTCACTTGTTGACATTACTTTTGTAAGCTATCTTGCTGCCTTTCACTCTGAACAAGCAAATAATTGCACATCAGTAAATGCTGCAGTGCGTAACTTCAGAAATTACAGAAACAGTTGAGTGATCATCACACTTCTGAATTTGTCATGCATCATGACTCACTTTGCTGGAAACAGAACACACAGATTCCCAGCAAGTTATTATCATGATTTGAACATATAACCCAGTTCAAATAATTTGAAATTATTAAAAACACTTCTGTAAACATACTTAAGTTCAATTGTATGCTTCAAGCATTTGTTAAAAGCTCCTTAAGAACTATTATAATTGAAATAACAGTTTCAAACAGAAACAATTAAAGGATTTAGAAATTAATCTATAAACCAATGCTACTTACCCCAGCTAAAGTTCTGTTAATACGTTCACTTATACAGTCTTTGTATAACTCACACTTGGCCTTCAGATTTTCTGTAGAAATTAAACAGAAACTAATTATATACTGCAGTTTAATCAATATTCAATGTATACTTATTTTAAGAGCTCTTGTCATTCCTCACACCACCAGCATTCTGAATTTATGCACATTAAGACACAGCACTTTGTTCTCAAACTGCAACTACTGGGACTTGATCTTGGCCAAAGTTACACCACTGGACAGACTCTCAGCTTTTGTTTTACTCAGGTAGAGACTTAGGCCCCTTTCCTTGGGACTTCTACAGGTAAAGTTAAGAGACAGCTTGAAATGATGGAGAGAAGGAGACATCTGACAACCACTATTTCAGATGGATTTCATCACACTGTTTAGCAACAATACATTTACAAAATGATTCTATTCTCAGGAAATGTAGATGTCACTGCCTTGCCTCTTTTTCATGTATTGCTGATTAATCTAGCTGAAGATAAAGAGGCACTGGTGGGTTTCTTAGAAGATGTAGCTCTCTAATAACACATAAACCTTGATAATATCATGTACCTTGGCAGGAAGTGCCATCATTTGGCTTAAACTGCAATTTTCCCGTGGATGGTTGATAACCTTCCTTACAGGAGCAGTTAAACCCTCCATCCACGTTTTCACATTTTGCATGATCTCCACAGGCAACAGTTCCTTCATTGCTGCACTCATCTACATCTGCAAATATCGTGAGAAATTGAATTTTTCATTAAGTATTTACAGACTAACACCTTGCTGCTTTGTTGATAATAGCCCTGCATGCTGCAAGCAGTTTCATAATAAAATTTCATGGAATAAAAAAAGCAGAAACTGAAAAGGCAAACTTAACGGCAAAATACCTGCCAATTATAATATTTAGGGATTAAAAGGATAAATCATAATTGATCATATTTTTATGCCACCACTTTTATTACTATATAATAGTGCATTGTTCATGTTTTAAAACCATGAATTTAAAACCATAAAACTTTTAAAACCATATTAATTCTATCATAACAAAATGCTCGGCATGATGCAAATCATCAGAAAACCATTTTCCAGAGATTAGACTAAATAGATTTTCTCAGCCTTATGATTCAGTTAGAAAAGAGAAATAAAACTGCAGCCTTTTCTTTTAAGTTACAGCTTTAAAAAGATGCTACAAAAGATCACTTCATCCATTTGCTAATCCAAGATTTAAGCTCTGTGCCCTTTAAAGTGCTTGGCATGTGGGATATTTTTTAATTCACATTTAAATTACATTTGCCTAAAATGTCTTCTGTACTTCTAAATAATTTGCCATTAGGTAGACAGGTTCAGTAACCGGGTGGGGCACAGTCCAAGAGTAAAACTGATGAATTCCAGTAAGGGAATCCATGAACTGATCAATTATAGAGAGCTGTGTACTAACTCTTTGGCTGAAGTAGGGATTATTTTGCATTATTTGGTTGGCCAAGGATAAATATCAAATAACTCAATGGAGAAAGTAAACTGGGAAAAAACCCAAATATTTCTGATGAATGAAGTAATGGACTGTGAAGTGCTGTGCTGGAAAGGAGAAAAAAGTGAACAGCTTTGGAACAGGTATGAAAAGAGTTGAAAAATGAAGAAGTGATACATGAGCAGCTTTAAAGGAACAGCCTGAGAACTGAATTGAAAGAAAATAAAGGTAGAGAGGGGAATGGATGAATCAGAGAGAACTGAAGAACTGGCATGACACTGAATTTAGGAAATAAATTTGTGAAAAAGAACTGATTAACCGATTAGTGGGGGAGAACAGCTACGTGAATTGATAGAAGACTTTTGTGTAGCCAGATGGATGTTAAGGACAAACAGAAAGCAGATATAGAGGGCTGGAAATGCACTATTAGCATATAGGAACTATTTTTGCACTCTTATTTTTACACAAGACTGTTGGTGGTTTTAAAAAAAGAGTAGAACAAAAATGAGCAACCATGTATGTGAAATAAGGTTGCTAGATAAACAGAAATAGTAGAAAAACAGAAAAACGTTCATTAGCCAGCTCTCTTTCTTCTGCTCATAACTGCTGGGGTTCTAGTAGATGATTGAGATCCCACCCCATCCTCCTCACTGAGCAGTGAGTATGATTTTCACGTGAAATGCTGCATTTTAAGCCTGAGGTTCAGATGGGGAAGGTACAGATGGGAAGGCAAGGTGGGGCTGTGGGTGTATTTGCCTTTCCCAGCAAATCCACCTCAGCCTTTCACGGATAGCTGCTGTGGAAGCAGTGTGTTTGAATGGACTGGTGCAAGCACCGATATTTAAGGTATGAGGTTAAATTATAATTATCTGCATTAGGGCAATAGTTTGTTTCCATATTTAATGCCCCAAACTGAAAATATTTCTCTTTAATGAACTGAGTTTTACATTATCTGTGTTCATATGGTTTCTGTGACCTCAGTATTCATGCAGTCATGGAGCTAACCACATTATACATCAATGAATCTGGCAAAAGTGATGAAGAGGGAGGGAAAAAGCTTGGTATAGTGTTACATAGTCTACCTCATAATTAAATGCTGTCATTTAAAGACATAAGGCTAAAGTTCTTACTCTTGGCATTTAAATAACCTCTCACATCAGTAAATTATAAAGCTCTTTTTGAAACAAGTGGGTGACTGTCAGTGCCCTGTTGTGTGACTCTCTGTAAGACAGACAAACTTTGAATGAATTGAAGCAGCAAGGGTGAAAACCACTACAATATCAGTTTGTATAACAAGAACACGCATCAGCCTTATACCAAAGATTTCCTTGGCCTTGTCAGCTACACAGAGAAGGACATGTACATCTTAGCAAGATATTCAGTGTGTAGTGCAGTGCTAAAACACCAGCAAATGACAAGAGGCTTTGCTAAAACTGATAATGATTTATAAATAAATACATAAATAAATGCTTGAATACTTTCTAGACTACCACAGCTAAGTATTCAAGTTTCCATGTGATTTACTGGTGCAAATATTTCAGAATCATTGTGATATTTCACTTTTCATGAGTCTTTAGTTTAGTAAATCGTTTATTTGTCATTATTGGGCAGTCATACGGATTACTCTTCCTCTTGTAATTATGTCAGATATTAAACATAATAGAGATTTTAATGAGAAGTCAGGATCATTCAAAACAACAGCAGAAACTTAAGTACCACAGCTTGCACATTTCTGGCAACAGGATGGTCTGACAGAGACACGTTGTTGAGTATACACAAATGGACTCTGCAGTTGAGCTGTACATATGGAATGAGTCCATATCATGCCTATATAATTTACTATTTCCTGGAGAAAAAAAAATAAATCTCCTGGATGACAAAATTAAAAGGAAATATGCCTGATCTTGCAAGGTACTAATCAGCTTCACATCCCTTTTAAATCAATGAGATTGTCAGGGGCAGCCAACAATTTGTGACAGTTGCAAAAATGCTGCTTTTAAGTTCCTGCTTTGAAATGCAGAGGCTGTAAGTTTTTGTTTCTTTATATTTTGTAGTTATGCCTTTTTAACCAAATATGCAATTGTTGGACCACACATGGACAGCAGCTTGTCAGTGCTTTCAGCGATCCAATTTTGCTGGAGCTCTGGGGCAAGGATCTCAAACCGTCTTCCTTGATCTACTACAGCAGTGGGGCTGGGCTGCCAAGGCTTGACTGAGCAGTCTTTGCTGAAAACATTCCTGAGCAAAGGCTGAAGAACAGCAGCTTTTTAAACAGAAGAGCATTTGCCGTAGCTCTGCAAAACCCTGGCCTTTTAGTAAATATTCAAAACAAACCCTGGAGCTGAACTTTGAAGCTTTTATAATAGCTCCAATCAGAAAAATAATATCACCAACACCACTTAGGCTAGTGTGAAAATAGATTTAGAACCTTCTATTTTATTTCTGTGCTTTGTCACTCCTCATTTACTGCAGCAGGCAAGGAAATTCCAATTAAATTAAAAGTACTGAGAACAGTTATTATGTTCAGTCTTGCCAATTACTAGATTGTACCTACATCGCTTTGATTCTTCACCAGTCAGTCAAGACAGCTTGATGTCTACATTATACCTTCTGCTTATTAGTAGCTTGCAAGTGATTGAAAAGTCCAATTGCAAAGGACTAGATGTTCCCTCCCCATGCCTCCATACTGTGGAAGTCAGCAGCACACACAAAGCAGAAATGAAAAAGCCTACGAATAGCACAGGCAAAAGAAAAGTTAGCCGCATAGCATATCCCATCCACTGTACATCTCTCCTGACACAGAAAAGGATGTCATGTAGAAATGGTGCCTTCCCAGTGTTCTCAAAATACCTGAGTAAAACTAATAGCGTGTTCCTGGAAAAGGCAGAGTAGCACAGATGTCACTTTTATTTTACAGATAGCCATTTTAATGTTTTTACTGTGTTGACCAGGGTGAAAAAAGTAGGTTTATATTTCACCTTTTCAGCTGCAGCTGAACATTCAATAAAATGTGAAGTCTGAGGGAAAAGCATGGCTTTTATACTGTAAATAGATTTTAATAACTCATATGCTGGAGAACAGAAAAATACAATCTTCAGAAACATTACATCTCTGCATTCCTCTTTTTTTCTTCTCCATTTCCTTTCTCCTTCTCTTTTCTTCTCTCTCTCTTACTACCCTCCAGTTCCTCCTCTATCTGCATTTCGTTGCCATCTCCTCACCAATTCTACCGCCTAACATAGATGAAATACTGCTGACCCCCAACAGAGGGATTGGGTTAAGGGTGAACTGACATTTCCCAAATCCACTATACCAAGTTTTCCTCTGGTCCACTATCCTGAGAATTATAATCACTTTGTATTTGGTTTAGTATAGTATCCAAAGAGGGGAGAAACGCACATATGTATTCATCTGGACTTTGAAGAGCACTCACGCATACACAGTGATGTACCACACTTGCACCTCCGGGAAGTCCAGATAGGTTTGATTGCATAAACACATAAACATAATGGCATACTCTCCAAAATTCAACTACTGCGTTTTCAAAGGTGCTGCCATATGCGTTATACCTATATACTAAAGAGAAAACTTAAGACTTTGCAGAATTTGAAAATACTTTGGTGCCTATAAACTTGAGTGGATACTTGGTAGCTCTGTCCTCCTAATTGTGCAGGATAATTTGCACTGTATTTACAATGACAACTTCAGTGTTTGCTTTAGGGGTGTGTAGTACATCCTGAATACACTGCTGACAGCTGCTTGTGAGCAAGTCATATCTGCCACCACCAGCAGCAGATCCATTGGGTACAAAATATCCTATTACGGTTTCCCTGACAAATAGAGTAGAAAATTAATTGTGGATCAAAAGGCTGTCTTTAGGACTCACTACTTGCCAAAGTCATCGGTACACTTGTATAATGAGAAAAGGTGCCTAAGGTAATTTTTTTATTTCAGCGTGAGTTTTGGAAGCTCTCACCTCTTCCCATACGAACTTACAAAAAGGAGAAGTGGTAAACTAACCCCCAGTAGAGGATAAAAAATGATCAGTCTGCCCAGTAAAGAGGGCAATAGGAAAAAAAAGGCAAGCTAATGATGAAAAGCTAAAGTGACACAAGAACAGTCAGAGGAAGAACTTTGAAGACAAAACTTCTGAAGCTGAGAAAATGTCATAACATAAAAATCAAAGCCTGGACCAGAAACAGCAAGAATATTTACAGCTTAATATGCTAACAGTCTCAATCCCAGCTAATTTAAGAACGATTCATGGCAGCTGGGTAAAGCGGAGCTATTTTAGATGGCTGTGAGCAATGGGCAAGAAATGTTGATTAGATCACTTTCTGGCTTAATATGCAGCCATTCTGCTGATATTAAGAGCAGTAAGAAGAGAGGTTGTCAGCACTCACAAGCTCACAGGAGACGTATACAGAATGAGACATAGTCAGCATAAAGGTGTAAAGGGCAATAGATTTATTTCTCATTTTCTGATTCCCTGAGGACTGTTGCAACATATAGAGAAAATTACCAGGAGTTTGAAAGAAGAGAAACAGTTACAGTTCTTCCATCCAAAGGAAATCCTAAAGGGTTGCATAGCTGTTCAGAAATAACATTTTTCCAGAGAACTTTTCCTCCCCTGTAATCTTGAACAGCTTCCACCCAACTGCTACAGAAACAGAGGCTGATGGATGGCACAGGAGGTAGGTTAACTACTGATCTTGCACATTGCTTTTGATCAGACTTGAAAAATTACCAAAAATATCTCAACCAAAGCCCCCAAAAGAAAAAGCATAGTTTTGGAGCATAGTAGGTTACTTGTATAGGGGACTTTTTTGGTCCAGAGCTACCTAAATGCAGAATACTTTGTCACTGCTTTGTTTTAAGAACATGACCACTTTTCTCACACATTAGTGAAACAGTGGCATAAATAGGTAGATTGGGGATTTCTGTGTTACCTTAACTTCATTGTCTAAAACTGTGGCACAAAAATATTGCAAGCAGATTCAAGATTGAAGTGTTACTGAAAGCAGTGAGAACTGTGGGGCCGCACTGAAATATTAAGTTTGTAACAGTCCAAGTTGAGGGAATTTTATATTCAGGCCCCGAACTTCACAAATCTAAAAGCATTTTGCTAGATTTCTATAATTAACAGAGGCAACAAGAGTGACAGTGTAAAGCAAGCTGGCAGACATTAATAACTTACCCACACAGGAGGTTCCATCATTAGGTACAAAAGTTTGTTGACCATTGCTGGATTTGAAACCAGGCATACACATGCAGAAATAACTTCCCACTGTGTTTGTGCAATTGGCATGCTCTCCACAAGGCTGGGTAGCATTTTCACATTCATTATCATCTGTCAAGACATAAATTATGGAGAAATATATTTAAATTTGCCAATTGAAGAAAACAGTAAAGAGTAAACTTAATGTGGACTCTGGTATTTTATTTATATAAGTTACTAATGCTGAGCTGGCACTCTTGGTGTCTGTCTATACAGTTTTCCCATTGGCAAGGATGTAATCAGGTGTTCAGAAGCACTCTTCTGCCCTCATTCTGTGAGTCAACAGATGAGAAAACCAGCAGGATACTGAAGTGAATGGTTTAATTGGATATTCACTTGGGATAAAGGACTGAGACAAGTATATGTTTTGCCATGGTTGTATTTTGTAACATTCTTTTGCTATCCAAAAATCTGCAGATAGAAAGCCACACTGAGGATGCAGCTGGGAATTTAAAATCATAGAAAACAAAGCTCAAAAGGATATCAAAAAGTCACTCATTTTATTCCCTAACACCAAAACAGGATCAGTATAGCTAAACTGTTAGGGGGGTTTTGGCCTGTTTTTGAAGACCTTCTGAGGTATTGCATAGCAGTCCTAGACAATAAACTAACCAAGTTTGTCCTACTGACTGACTTGAGTCTTCTTGAGCATGACAGGGAGAAGACATATGATTTCAGAAAAGACACCTAAGGATGAGTTTTAGAAAGGTGCTTCTGCTTTCTGATGGCCAGTGTTCTCCTAAGGTTCTGACGAGATAAGGTACAGGTAAATAAAGTGTCACGTAAGCTAGAACAGATTAAAGTACACCAAGAGCATGGTGCACATGGTACAACAATGTAAAATAATGCAGGGATACATTTCTGCAAGATAACTTAATTACACCCCCTGTATAACCCTAGAACAGGACATTATTCAGATTTGAAGTCTGATGTAATTTTGAACACTATTCATTTGACTCAGAAAGGCAAATACCAATTCAGAACTGCAGCTTTCCTCAGGGGAGTTTGGGTCAACAGTATCAAATGGATTATGGTCATTATAACTAAAACTGAATGTAAATTATTGAGGAATCCAAGTATAAAAGCACCTTGCAAACACACACCAACAATATTCTACATCTTTGATATTCATGAGAATACAGCAGAAATGGTGTATGATTTGGTTATTAAAGAATGCTAAAGTAAAACCAAATTAGTGTAAGTGGAATTATGACAGGGAGGAAAAAAATGTGATGTTGATCCAAGTTCAAAAGCAAAGCATTAGAATATGAAAAATTCAGTTTGGCATGTGGTATTGCAGAGTCCAGGCCCCAGGATATTTTTCAAATCTTGATAACAAGGTCCACTTCTTTGAATATCATTTGCATGTGTCTGTTTAGCTCTTTTGCAATCCCAGTTTGCTCCCAAACCCTGGCATTTCAGAACAAAAAAAAAAAAAAAAAACGGACTCTCCTATTTTAGTTGCCAAGTAAACCTGGTCTTGGGAAAGTATTAGATCCTAGGAAACAATGTGAGTTGACTTTGGAAAGCTCATTGGATAGTAGTCATGGAAGATAAGAAGTTGAAGGACACTGATAACTGCAGGACCTAATTCACAACAGAGAAATGACAAAGCTAAAGAGAGAAAAGCTACGTGTAAGAACTTTCCTTTTTAATTTGTTTTCTAGGAGCTTAACTATAGTCCTCAAATTCCACCAGTATTACCCTTTTTCAGGTAGTCCAACGATTTTATAAGCAATATTAAAATGAGTCATGCAGTGGTCATCAATACATTTTTTACAATTATGCTTAGTTAACTTTACTGTATTATTGGCAGTTTTCCTCAATGTTCAGTATGTCTAAGGGGATTAATAGTAACTGTATTGCCTTAAGAGGCTTACCTGTTGAAAGCGCCTTTCAGATAATTTGAGAAAGCTTCAGAACATCAGAGACTAACAGTAACTTACATTGCAAACACAAGAATTAATATTAAGAGTTAAATTCATAAGTACCTTTCTTTTCACTATTCCCATGGTCTAACACAATACTGAGCAGACCATGTTGGGGCATAATTTACTGGACCACATCCTGCTTCCATTTTAAATTAATGGCATAAAAGTCACTGATGTAATTAGGCCCAGGGTGGTGCTCACTACAAAAAACTACTGGGTTAATGAGAAACGGAAGTAAGGAAGAAGTTTTCAAGAAAAAAAAGGGTTTTCATATATAGTTTAAGTAGATCTGTTCAATCCACCTAATTTCACACAAAATACTTCACAAGATCAACAATGATGGCAAAATATCTTCTAGTTCTCTGTATAAACAACTTAAACTTTTTCTTCAGATAGCAGTTCAATATGAAGCTCAGGGACTTAAAATAGTTTTCCAAATTTTCCATTATTTATAATATTACTGAATTTGTGATTTAAATGATGTCAGGAAAAAATAGCAGGATTTATAGATGGAAATATATATATTTTTTGTGAGGCCCTTATATATAAAATATATATATTTTTTTAATTTTTTAAAATTTTCTGTCTATGCTAAGAGGATACTTTAAATGACAATGAGCATGTCATCCACCTGCTTTGTTGCTACCTAATTCAATTATGGCACATGCAGTCATTCTTGGCACAGATACCAACTGAACACTTAGTTCCTGTAAAGACTTTTTTTTTTTTTTTCAGTAACTAATGAAAAAATTGGAGACTTTTAGAGACAAGATTGGCCAAATCACATGGTTAATTATTGTGGCTAAATGGTAATGCTGCATTCAAGTTTCTCTGATACAGAAGACATTTCTTGAATAGCCATGATGTCTTGAGAAATGACAGTTGAGGAGGTAAGGAGCAGGTTGTGGGGGGTTTTGTTGCTGGGGTGGGGTTTTTTTTTTGATTTTTGGGGGTTTGAGGAGTTTTGGGTGTGGTTTTTTTTATCATTTTTACACGGCCCTTCTGTGATATTTGAATTGTTCTAAATCTCATCATTAAATAAAAGAAATCACACTGTAAGGAAATTTATAAATATTTTCCTAGGAAATTTGGGTTAAATAATCCATAGATGTGTGGGTACAGGAATACATATGTGTACTGTATGTATACATATGTATACGTATAAGCATGTATGTGCACATACATTTATGTGTACCTGAATATTGGTAGGGTACTTGCATGATACAGGTGTAAAATAAAACCAGTTCTCCCTTTTCACCTTAAAAATGTAGTTACTATGTATTTTAATGTGCATAAATGTAATTATGGTTAGATGGAATTGGGTACTAGCTGCATGCAATCATATCTCTACCTGTCTCTCAAAAACATGTAAGGATCTTCAAAAGGAAAAAAAAAAAAAAAAATCTGAAAAGCCAATATATCCCTTTCAAACTGAATTTTAAATCAGGATGGTAATTCTGTATTAAAATTGCTTGTGTTCATTAAAAGAACACTATTGGTTTAAGGATTGAGTGGCCCTACTGAGAAGCTTGGGCACTGATGGAAGTCTTTCCCTGTCACACAGAGCTATAAACTGGATCTAGTGTCTAAACAATCACTCTTTTACATTAGGTAACATTGTTCATTAGGTAAAATGTGTATTAATTTTCTTTAGTGGTGATATAATACGTTCTTGTATGAGGAATATTCAATTAATTTAAAAGCATTAAAACACATGAACAGAAAAAGGAAGAATGATCTGTGGATTTTAAGGCCATGATGCAGTTGGAAGCTAAAAGAATCTGATTTTAGGAAAAAAAAAATAAAATAGAGGTGGTTTCTTCTATCACAGCCCATGTACATTCTAAGGTTCCTCCGTGTCATGTATCCTGCTTTAATACAACATGGTTATAAAATTATAACCTACAGTAGGAAAATGTCAGGGCAATACAGCTACAACATGATATAATTTATTATTGTGACAAGCATGAGAAAATGCTTTGAATTACCAATTTTAAATATAATATTTTTGTAATACTGTTTACATATTTTACATGAAAAATGTCATGATGGAAAGTCTTACTGCAGCAGCTTTGAAGGATTTCCATTACACTGAGCGCATCTCCCTGACAGACTTTTTGATGATAGGATGACATATAAAATGAAGAGTTAGGTTTGGGGTGAAACTTGTCATTAATTCACATTCGTGCAACTTTTGTTTTTTCCCTTTTTGTAAAATTTGAAATGAACTGTTTAACCCTTCATTCAAGTAATGAACAAACAAAGCTGAACTCACTCAAACAGAATTATTTGTGTATTTTCAGTCCTCACCAACCCATAGGAAACAAGATTTTTTAGAAGTGAAATTTTGTATTGGTAACGTATTCTGGCCTCTCTGGCACTGAATTATTTTAATACAGTGACCTGATTGGAAAACTAGCACCTATGGTGGGAAGGCCCATGGCTAGACAGACCTGCATCTCCCAAGGCTTTCTACTGGGGCCTTGCTACAGGCAGAGCACTCAAGGCTCTTGTTCCTCCGCTTTGTCAGGAGCCCCAGTCCTAGCTTCCCATACAGGGTAATTTGTGCTGTGGCCAAGGTGCTTTGTGGGTTCTGACCTGGATAACCAGCCAGGCTCACCAGAGATGCAACAGATTTCCCAGGGCAGCAGAAATCTGGCTTTTGCAGGTGAAGTCTTTTGACACCTTGACATTAAAGGATTTTAAGGAATTAAGAACTCCTGATCAGAGCTTGAGTTTGATATCCTGAGCTTTCCCAAAGCCATACCTGAACAAGCATGCACATGATAGTGAGATTTTCATAAGTTTAATGAACACTTGATGTTACTAAGGACCACAAGCAGCTCATATTGAAACTGTTACTGTATACAACAATACATTCACATTCTATTCACTGCATTCCCCAGGTGACATAAAAAGAAGCAATAAAAGCATCAACAATTAATATTGTCCCAGTCCAGGCCTTTTGAAAACCAAGGTTGGAGGCCTCTGGGGCATACCCATCTGTCAAGAGCAGCAGTGGCAGCACAGGCCTGGGGACCAGTATTGGACACAGCAGTCTGAAAAGTGGACAGCATTGCATAGGAAGGAAATGCAGCCAGAGTGGCTGGGGAATACATTGATTCATTGCATCCGGCTGTT